TTCGACTAATAAAGTTGGAGATGACAAAATTTATTTGTACTATTTTAATTATGAATGAAATGATGCTTATGTATATGTTGTTGACTGTATTAATGGTTAATTTCTCAATCATAATACTGAAAAATCGACATTGATAAAACAATGCGCATAATTAGTTTGAAACTTGATGAATACTATAATATGAAATCAATATAATTAGAAAAGGATTGCATCTTCTGAATTAAAATAATTCTAGAAGAATTTACAAATTGTAATAGATGAAACTATATAAATTCGCGCATTAATTGAATTTTTCATTCATTCTATTCTGTTAAGTTTAATATTTGATTTGTAATTTTAATATGAGCGACACTAGTATAGTTGCTGGTGGACCATCAGAAGATAATTTTTATGGTATGCAAGACAATTCTTATCGTCGAAGAAGTGGCTGTTGGACTCGTTGTGGAGCTAATATTTGTGTTTGTATCTTAGCTATCTCAACGATACTTCTAGTAATGGCTTTAGCATATGAATTTTATCAGCAAAAGCAAATAGAAGAACATCGAAAAGCGAAAGCACAAAAAGCTGGAAAAAAGTATAGTCGATTACCAGGAAAAGGATTAATTAAGTTTGGTAAAAAGATTATTGGTAGTTTATCAGATGATGCTGAGCAATATGATGATGATGGTGATGATGATGATAATAGCGATGATTCTTAATGTCTTCTTTCAATACTTTTTTTATTAGATCTATAAACTTTTTTAACATTCTCATTTATGTAACTTCAATTATAAAATAAATCATTTTAACACATATAATTATATATGTATATATATCTTATTGATATGCTAATTTTTCTCTAAAAATATATTATATAAATATTATACTGATAATATTTTGATATAGTAATAAAAAGAGAAAAAATATAAATCTTAATTATTATTTATTATTTTAGAGTCCACTATTAATTTTATAATTTTATTTAAGTGAACATAAGAAATTTTGACAAGAAAAATTTTTCTCTGTAAGATTGACTTCAGTGAGATAAGGTCCAATAATACGTTGAAAACGTTGATTCAAATTGCCGGAAGAATAGACTAGATCAAATCAATGTAAGTATTTAAAAATAAATAAGAGAATTTCATTACTTTATCTATTAGTATAAAAAGAAGACATAGTATGCAATATTTATTTAAAAGATGAAGATTGAAATAAAAAAATTCAGTCATCAATCATCGTCATTTTGCGAAGATACAGCCACATCATCCTTCCATTCTCCAATCGTATTCACGGCACCATTCGCACCATATTCTACTCCCTGTCCATCCTTCTTTCCATTCATCCATTGTCCTTCATATCGTCGACCATTTTTCCAAGACATAATTCCTTTTCCATGTGGTTCCCTTTGTGTATTAATTTCTCCAACATATTTATCGCCATTCTTATAATGTATCGTATCGACTAAATGCGTTGGAATATGATCAATTTTAGTAGTTTCAGTAAAAGCGGTCAATACAGGTGTAGCAGTTTTGACTTCCATTTCATTTTCATCTTCATTTTCTATTGGAGGTATGTTGAATGTTTTATTTAGAACATATTCATTAGGCGTCTCTAGAGAAAAAAAGAAAAAGAACATATGATATTGATAATATGAAATTGCATTATAATGAATTCATTCTACCTGTATTCAAACCAGTTGTAATCACTGGAGTAACATCCAGATTATTTTCATCAATTTTTAAGAATAAAATTGGTTGTTCACAGGTGGTGTTCTGTGGTACACGTGTAGAAGATGGAAGTCGCTCATTATTGAATATACCGTAATAATGTCGTTTCTTTTCCTTATTTCCATCAAACAATTCATTCTTTAAATCATCAATATCTGCATCGGCTTGAATGTGAACCTTTTCTGGTTCATTATCGATGATCTTTGTCCAAACTTTAATCATATCAAGCGTAGTAGTAGTAGTAGACATATTGTAAATGCAAAAAAAAATGTATGAAGAAAGCGAGCAAGAAACAAAAATACTAATTCAAGCACGTGTCATATACTTCAGCCGTCTCAAACAGAACAGAAAGAAAAAAAGAGAATTTTTATAGTTTGACGGATTACAATCGAACAATAAAAAAAGAAAAGAAAAAAAAATCAATGCTCGACAAATCGTTAAAAATATTTCATACCAATTGGTATGAAGGTTATTAAACTGAAGATTGAGTCGTTGATCAATATTATTCATATCTTTTATCTTAATTTTTAAACTAAAAAAAGTTAGCGTGCATTACTCTTATACACATTTCAGTTTTCTCATATTCGAATTTAACAATTCTTCGTGTAGAGAAAATACGTTCTATTCCACTAAACTCGGTTGATACTCGTCAATCAAGAATTAACTCGACACCAACTTAGACGGAATCATACTCTTCCCCTATCCCTCAAGCGCCCACCTGTAGGACTACCACTTATTACCCACCTGGGGTCCGCATGGACCCCAAGCTAATAAGATAGATATAATACGCGTTTTAACTAGTATACTATGATAGCATTATGTGGTATATAATTTGCCTCTTACAGACTTAGTAGCTTATGAATGGAAACTATATTTCGTTATTTTATCTTTTATTTTTAAAACATTTTCTTATAATCCGTTTTTAACCTAAAAATGTTTCGCTACAAATCGTGCAAACAACTATGTGATGATCTAGACAACAGGGAGCATTGCAACTTGAACAGTGAGTAATAACCTTTCGATCACGCTCTCTTGGACAAAGATGACAACGTTGCTTGACAGTAGCTGTTGAACCAATAGTTGGTTGTGAAGTAGTTATTGTTAGTCCAATTGCCTGCATAGCTATTCGAACGTTCTTTTGAAGTGCCTGCGGTTGATATCGTCATCGATCCAAATGCGATTGAACAAGATCATGACCTAATTCCATTAGAAATAGACGTCGACGATAGTTTTTCTTTTCATTCCATTGAGAGTTTTTGGTTGCCCATACCACAAAAGTAGCAAGAGTACCAACATCAAGTATGTTGAAAAAGAAAGTCATTGACATGCTTTACAATTTATTAGATAGCTACAGAATACTTTCATATGTGCGGACAAATGGATAAACTATGAAAACGAAAAATTTATAATCAAATAATAAGCAGAAACTAATGTTATATCACGGGGTCCGATTGGACCCCAGGTTGGCAAAATGCGTATATATGTACTTTAAGGTAATTTATCTTATAGAAGACTAAAGGAGATAAGCGAATGCTTTCTATGGTATACTCTACTACTCTGCACTAGAGCATATCTAGAGTGATGTGATATGATCTGCGATCGTATATGTAAAACATTAGAATGAAACTAGTTGGGGTCCGTGTGGACCCCAGGTGGGCGCTTGAGGGCTATATCATTTCCTTCAAAAAGACAAATATTAAACAAATTGATATTTGATTTGTTTTGTACGTAGGTGACGCAATTTTTGTAAAATCTAATCAATCCACAAAGAAAAAACTTCTACTTAAAATATTGAAGAAATTATCATAAGAATCATATTTTAATTTAGCTGGATATGTAAGCGAAGTAAGCAGCTGATTTGAGTATTTCCACCAGCGATTCGCTTATGATGCGTTCCAGACGAGTTCCAAGTGCAACTCGACGTGTCCCATCGAATGGTGTGCTCAGAATTTTTTGTAACTCGAAGTAAAAACTTTTTTATTTTGGTGGCGCCATCTACAGGCCAGAAACTTTTATATTGAGTTACGAAAAATCTGGGCACACTACTCGATAGAGCTCGTTCAGTTGTGCTTGGAACAAGTATTAAAACGTATAATAGACGAATCATCGGTGAAAACACGCGAATCGGCTGCTTATTTCACTTACGTGATCAAACAACAACATAGATTCAAGAAGATGATAAAATAACTTTCAAAAGCTTTTTCCTATAAAAAATTCAAACTTAATTTTCCTTGACGAGTATTTTTCGTTTTTTCTTTCAGTAACGAATTTCAGATAACAACAGATTGTTTTTAAAATTTCTTTCTCCGTCGAAGAAGAAATAGATACGATGTTTCGTTGACAATAAACAGAACGTAATAATAATCAAAAATCCTTATTGGATTATGTAAAGTAGTCAAAATGACCATTCCATATAGACATATTCCTTGTATTTTTTCTTTCTTTTGCTTATAGATACGTTGCTTCGATTTACTTTCCTGTTCAACCCATCATCGACTATCATCATGGCAACTATCGGATTTTACGAGTTCCGAGTACATTTTACATCATATACTATATGTGCACTTCATGTTTATTTTTCAGATAAAAGAAATAAGAAAAGAAATCGATGAAATAAATAATGAAATGACTGTACATCAAATAAGTGAACGGGTGTGGGTGTAGATCTGGGTGGGACAATATATTTTTTATTTCACACCCACACCAGAAACAGTAAGGAACGACAAATGGATTTCAGAATTAAGAGGTAAAGCTTTAATGCTGCATTTTATTAAATCGATACGCAAGATTAATGCAATATGAAACATTACAAAGCATAATTCAGTTCTTGACGCTGGTATTATTTATCAACTCGATACTGGCTTCTGTTTTATAATTAAAGAAGGCTTCTATATCATGTTACGAACACATGATGATCAAAATATTCCTGTTCAATGTGGTACACTGATACATGATGACCGGATATGCACATCGAGAATACTGCTACCATAAAATCTCTGGAATACCACGGAATCGGCCATTTCCGTGCCGGATTGTTCGATCTGGATTTGCGGTATCATCATATGGTGAGCTCGCATCAACAGGAGCCAACGAATGTTGCATCATTATCATCGTCTTTGAAGATCATTCTACACTGATTTAACATCGGTCAGATATTGCTTTATCTGTAGAAGGCGATGATAATGATGCAATGGCCTTACATGAGAGTATTGTTGATAACATCACGTCATCTAAGGAACCTCAATCAGTGATTAAGTGAGTCAAGTTTGGATTTTAATGATGGTTCATATATGTCGTTTACATAACCATCACATTCATATTCATAATCTCACTTCTCTTTTTCTTTAGACATTTTTATGTATCAGGAGGATGTAACAGTGATCTCAAACAAAGATTTCAAGACTCATTGATTGAAGTAGCAAAATAATTACTCAAAGACAATTCTATTTCAGAATTACAAGGAGATGGTTTAATGTTGCATTTTATTAAATCGAAACGCAAAATTAATGCAATATGGAACATTACAACTAGAGTGTGGGTGTGGATGATAGTAAATTGAACACGCACACCCACCAGATGGTGGAATCGAACGGATTCGGTCACCGAATCCGTTCAACTGGAATACTGTTTCCATAAAATTTGTGGAATACCACAGAACTGGCCGTTTCCGTGCCGGATTATTCAACCTGGTTATAGAAAAAGAAGAACGTGAAGCAACACTGCAGTGGTATGTCAACCATCTCAGTAAGAAAAACTAATTTTTCTTTTAAATAAAGAGACGTATCTTTTAGATGTATTGTTAATGGAGATCGAACACAAAACTAAAAAAACTTTTAAATAATTGTTTTTAATCTTAATTAATAATTTTTTTCTTTTTTAAATCATTCTTTTCTTATCTTAAATAAATAATAATTCTTTTCTTATAAAAACTTCTTAATCATTTTCTTTAATTTTACAATTCTGACTACAATAACTTCGTTAATATGAATAGTTCAATCTTAAGATAAAATTAGCATTGTTCTTTTTTTCTTCAATGAAACTTGTTAAATATATCGTCTGAAAATGAAATGAATAACGGACTGACGAAAAAAAAAAGAATTCATATTCATTCAGCAATTAATTAACCTATTCATGTACACTTTTATTTTTCGACGTATATATAAACATCTGATATGAGTAGCACTCGTTGATTTAAAAATGAATTATTCACAAATGCGTCTTCTTGATTTACCTGATGAAATATTACTTTTAATTCTAAAAAAACTGAACAACATCGATATTCTCTACTCAATATTCGGTTTTGGTTACCAACGACTTGATAATTTATTACAAGAAAATACTTTTACTAATACCCTTAATTTTGTAATAACAACATCAGATGGTGATATTTATTCGTTTCCATATTATATCATTACAAGATTCTGCAAATATATATTACCAAAAATTGATCAAAATATACAATATCTTATTCTTGATTCATTATCTATGGAAAATATTCTTCAAGCTGGTAATTATCCTAATTTAACACAACTTAAAATTTTCAATTTTAATGATAAAGTTTTCGACGATTATTTCACAGGTAAGTTATTTTTCTACTACAAATTCGGAGGAAAACAATTTCATATTTTTTAGTTCAATCATCATTTGGACATATTTTTCAAAAGCAAATTACAGATCTTATTCTTATATTTGAAAAAGATTTTAATCAAATATTATCTAAACATTATACAATAGATATGTATGATTATATTTTAAAATTCTTTAAAAATCTTAAACATTTATCGATTAATGGATTATCTCATGGTTTTCCACCATTAACATTTCGAAATTTACCATTTAATGTTTTCTTTTCTTCAACTCTTTTCAAATTATCTATTCATGTTATGACTTTTGAAGATTGTCTTGCTTTACTTGATGGTCGTCTTGAAAAATTAAATACTTTCATTGTTGTTATTAATCCTTTTATATCTTATTCGTCGAATCTTTATCATATGGTAAGTTAAGATAAACTATCGATAATGAGCATTAATCAAATGAGAATACGTTTAAGGATAAACTTCAAAATTTAACTTTATTCTTTTTCTTTTTTTTCAGGATAGTTTACCTAATTTACAATGCTTTTCATTAACATTTAATTCTGAATTTAATGAATATGATCATTATGTTCGATTTCTTTTTCCTCGTATGTTTAATCTTAAAGAATTAACTTTACATATGACTATTTATGAACGAAATAATTTAATCGATGGAAATGATATTAATAATAATATTCTTATTCATATGCCACGACTTAATCAATTTAATTTTCATATTAGTACAACTATGCTTAGAAATAATTTAATTGATCATTTATCTGAAGATAATACTCAACAAACATTATCAAAATTAAGATTTAAACAATTACAATGTATTATTCATTGTCGATGTCATCTTATTACATGTCAAATCTTTTCATTACCATTTATATTTGATAATTTAACATGTATTGGTAATAAATTTCCAAATATTAAATTTAATAATGTTAAAAATTTATCAATTGAAGATGAAATTCCATTTAATCATGAATTTTTTATTCGACGTGCTTGGTCATTTCCTTTACTTAAAAAATTACGTATTCTTAATCTTGAACCACAATTACCATCATCATCAACAAATGAAATTTATTCATTAATTAAATATTCTCATCTTAGTTCTCTTAATATTCTAGATGTTCATGTTGATTATATCGAACAATTTCTTAATGATACAAAAACATGTTTACCTTGTTTAAATGAATTAACAGTTGATTATAATCAATTACAAATTGCTACAGAAAATTTTACAAAAGATAGAACACGATTTAATTGTAAAAATGTTGAAAAACTAAATATTAAACAAAAAAATATAGAATTAGAAGATTTCTATACTTATTTTCCTTTATTGTAACTTCTTTTTTTTTGTTGTTCTAAACAAATTATAAGAAAATGTATTAAGATTTCATTTTTAAGTATGAATATAATCGATTTTTTTATTAAATTTTTCAAAGAGATTCTACTATGAAGACAAAATAGTAGACTAAAGCATTGAATGATAATATATTAATACATTTTGATCTCTCAGAGAAAATACAATAAATCCACTCTAAATAAGTAATAACAGTTACAAAACAACAATTCATAATAAAAATTTCTATGAATGAAATAAAAGAATATCTCACTAACGGTCGATGAGAATATAAATTTCCTCACTTTGTATTTATATCTTTATTAATCATATAGTTGTTTAGTATACATGAACAATTCAGAATAACCTTGATTTAATACTTGTTGTTGTTATTTTATTTGTTCATATTTCCTTTCATCAATGTTTTCGATTCTTATATCAAATAATAAATTACCTCTCGAGATAAAAGTGATAGGTGAAAGATAGAATCGATAACTAGTTAGATTTATATAAGTCTGCTTACTCTTTGATAATTCATTGTACTTTATACATTTATAAAAGAAATTTTTATATCAAATGAATTATGAGTTTGTTTTAAAAATAAACTCACCTTTTTTAATAGGCAAAATAAATAAAAATGGTTTGTAAATATATTAATATTAATTTACTTATATATATTTATGCCATTCTGACGTAGATTTTCCATTTCTATATAAATTAGAAGTGTGAAGAAGCAATTTTTATTCAAAATATTGAGTGAGAAAATGAATGATTTATAATCGAATAAGACTAATTAATAATAAATATATAAATTGCCAAAATTATTATTCATACTTTTTAGTTTACAATAAAAAAAAAAGAATTAATTTAAATCATCAATACCATTGACAACATTTTAAGGAAGATTAGAAATTGTTATTATATCCCAGCAAGTTGAATAGATAAATACTTATATAATGTAATTCCTTATTATTTTAAAAATTGGGCATTTTTGTTTTTTATATTGTGTACTAAAGGTAAACAAAAAATCTATTAGACACAAAATTCAATCAAAAAAAAATTTTACCGATGAAAATATGTTTTATATAAAATAATTTGTAAATATGGACAGTATAAACCTTCAAATTTTTATATAAGATAACTATTTTTGAAAATTTTCATAATCGTAATATATGACAGTTGTATATAAAATACATGAAAAATATTGTCTAATTACAAGCGATGAAGCATGTAATTTTCATTTATGTAGCAGAATTTATTGAAAAATTACTTTTCTTTTTTTTT